GCCCATTTTCGGCCTTAACTAGCCAAGTCAAGCTTGTCTAAAAAAAATAAAATTGAAAAACAGCTGCTGCTTGCAACCTAGCTGCCTACATGCTTTGAAAGCTGCCTGCAAGCAGCTTTCAAAGTTGCCTGCAAGCATATTTCAAAGTGACACAAATGAAAGAAAAATTTATATATAGGAGGTAGCAACACAAATAAATTAGCAAATGACTTCAACAAAAGGCACTACATTTGCTCAGAAAAACAGGGAAAGAGGAAGAACAGTACAACAACTTAAGGTGACAAGAGAAATAAAAGAAATTTGTATTTCAACAAAGACAAGCAACAGCATATCCAACATTGAATTAGTAAAAGGCAACAAAAACTAGGAATAAATTCAGCATACCTTCAAACAGAAAAAAATGTAGATTAAAATTGAAAAACTAGCCATTATTATTAACTTTTATTAGATGAGTGAGACCCAATAACAGCTATATTTTCAATTTTAATTGAATTTTAAGTTTGGCCAAACATACTCTAAATGAGTGGATACAGCTGATTTCAAGCTTCGATGGTAAATAATGTCATCTACATTTTTTTTTCATTTTCAATTGCATAAATATTACCTTCAAAATATCATATTGGTTTACATGGTTGAATTTCAAAACTTGGTGCATCATGAATTCTGATTCAAGGTTAGTCACAATTGCAATATAAGGGCACCTAGTTCTTTTGAACAAAAAGGAGAGATTTTGGTTTTTTATGCAAGTGGATTTAAATTTCTTTGTTTTTAAAAAAAATGTACACGAAATATTTTATACGTGTACAATTTTAACTCTGCATACGATGATTGTAGCCGGTCCTAAACTCGGATAAAGGAGGAGAGTTTTAACTTTTATTTCATTTATAGTACGTATAAATTGTACAAATTTTAAATTCTTAAAAAAAAATTTTGATTTGTCATGGCAAAAAAAATTCGAGCTGACTCGGCGAGCTAAGACTCGAGCATCAATTTTTTGGCAGAACTTTTACTCGGCTCGGCTTGGGCAAAAAAAAAAAAAAAAAACTCTAACCAATTTTGCTCGAGCCGAGCTCGAACTTCAAGTTTCGGCTCGTGATTTGACTCGACTTGTTGACACCCCTAGAATTATTTGAGGTGTATTTTCTTAATAAGCATAAATAAATAAATAAAATAAAATGACAACTGAATATATGTCCATCCTCTTAAAAACATAAACATAATTTTTGGAGGAAAATTGTCATACAAGAATATTTGATTTTATCTACGTCAGTGTTCTTTTATCCGTACCAAGAATCCAACCGCGCATTATAACGTGTTTCCACGAGGAATCCTTATTATAGTAGGATTCAGTTACCAATATTAATAGCATGTTTGCACGGGATTAAAATCCAATTTTAATTAAAAATATGGTTTTTATTGAGTCCCACTCGTCTAATAAAAGTCAATAATAACGACTAATTTTTCAATTTTAATCTCTACCGAACACGACCTAACACAATAGATTATACATATCTACGACCAATCTTTTTGCCCATTTTCACCTCTCATCTCTTGTTTTATTCATTGATTTTGAACAAGAAAATAGAAAATCGAACCCAATTTATTATTGTTTTTTTTTTGTTTTTGGTTGCGTTAGATCATGGGATTTAAATCCTAGTTCAACAGGATGAAGAAACAACGCCTTCCAATGACTGCCTCAAACTCGATGCCTATCAACTCCCGTTCATCGTCCTTGAATTCCAGATCACAGATCGAGGCGGAGCTCGAACAAGTTTTCAAGAAATTCGACGTTAATGGCGACGGAAAGATCTCGGCTTACGAGTTGGGTTCGATTATGGGCAGTTTCGGCCACCCGGCGACGGACGAAGAGCTCGAGATCATGATCAAGGAGATGGATGCCGACGGTGATGGGTTCATCAACCTGCAAGAATTCATTGAACTAAACACGAAGGATATCGATTCGGATGAGGTGCTCGAGAATCTTAAGGACGCCTTCTCGGTTTTCGACATTGACAAGAATGGCTCGATATCAGCCGAGGAATTGCAGAATGTGTTGAAGAGTCTTCGAGAAGAATGCACATTGTCCGAGTGCAAGAAGATGATAAGTGGGGTGGATGCAGATGGCAACGGCATGATCAGTTTCGATGAGTTTAAGGTCATGATGATGATGGGATCGCGATTTGACGCCACCGAGGAACCCAAGATTGGTTGATTCTGCATAGTATTAGAACTGAAAGATTCATAACGAATTATTGATTCTACAATATCTCTATTTTTAATGTTTATATATTTATTTGCAGATGTTTGTTTAAGGTTGGGAATAGAGATTAATTCTTTTTGTCTTTTGCATCCGTTCGTTGAAAATGAAGGATACCTGAGATTTGGAGTTCTTTAATGCGTCAATTTGACTTCATATAGAATGAAATCGTATGACACAATGAATTGTGGCTGAATTATTGTGTTTAGTATTTGTTTTTCGCCATTTTTACAGATTTAATTGATCTTTTTCTTGTTTTTCATGAGACAGAATCTTTGTAAATTTGATTACTATTCTTTGGTATTATTTGTCGGTTCTAAAATTAATTGTGTGAATGATTGAGGCCGAAACATGTTTTTTTTTCTTAGTAAATTATTCTTTTTCCATATCTTTGTTTAGTGGAAACTTAATAGGATTCTATCTAATTATCTTTCTTGATTTAACAACCGAAAAGTCCAGATATTAAATTCAAGATACAAAATACCTTAACTTGACAGAAAGATAACTTGCAAAAATTAAAGGATTGAACACAAGATATGTTTCGACCGTAGCCCCTAAGGTTCGGCGACTGCTTATAACGTCTAATCCGCTATTGAGTATCTATTGAAGTGGATATAGTTTGGTTGCACTATAAATCCTCAAATTGGTATGGAGGTTACAAATGTTCATCCAACCCAAGAGAACGTACAAAACACTTATCTCTTTAAGATAAAACTGCAGATCTACAAAAAAAAAAAAATACTCAAGAAACTTCACAAATGCCTTTTGGAATCACAACTATAAGAACCCTCTTCTTCTCACTAGTTTCACTCAGAATATTACAAAATTAGAGGTTAACAATTACATATCTCAATTCTCAAATGAGAAATTTAACAAAGAAAAATGAAGCACATCAGAAACCCTAGCTCCAAGGAGAGAAGCTATCTAAAAAACGAAACCCAAAAGTCTGAATAATGTGTCAAGTGAAACGGCACACAAGTGTTATACACTGGAACCATCCAGAAGCCAAGCCAACAGTCAAGATAAGGATAGGTGTCAATATCCACTTTGCACAATCCCACTAACAAAGTCAAACTTTATAAAAACATGCTTACGGTATAAAATACCGGGTTCAAACCTCAACAATCTCCACATTGCTACCGTAATTTTCGGTTCATAGTGCAACATTTTCGTATTTCATTTGCTTTAAGTACCTGTACATGCATCACAAAGTATCAACATATAACAACTTTAAACAATTATTAAATTTGTTTAGATGTATTGTTTTTGTCCCCATATATGAAGTATTAAATTGGGTAGCAACCTTACCAATTTTCAATATTCCTTTGGAAATAATCTCTCTTATGAAATGCTATTTAATGTTTATGTGTTTAGTCCTATCATGAAATATGAATTTTTTACTCAAATGTATATCACTTTGGTTATCGGAAAGTAGAATTGCATTTTCATCTACAAAACCAAATTCATTCAATAAACCACTCAACCAAATACATTCTTTATAAGCATCAGAAGTAGCAATGTATTCTGCTTCAGTTGAGGACAAAGCCACAACCTTTTGAAGTTGAGATTTTCAACTAATTACAGTACCACACAAAGTACATATATAGGATGATGTTGATTTTCTATTATCTATATTTTCAACAAAATCAAAATCATTATAACCTTTTAAAGTTACCCCATCTTTATTCATTTTAAACACAAGACCAGCATTAAAAGTTCCTTTTTCATATCTTAAAAGTCATTTTAAAGCATTCCCATGTTCTTCCTCAGGGTTACTCATGAATCTACTAAGTATGCTAATGCTATGAGCAATATTAGGTTTAGTACATACCATCTAATACATAACAGATTTAATCACATTTGCATAAGAAATTTTAGTCATTCTATTAAATTCAGATGAAAGTTCAAAATGTTTTGCAAGATGCAAAATTACATGTTTAAATTCAAACATGTTGAACTTTCTCAAAATTTTAATCACATAGTCATGTTGATTAAAAAATAATAGGTCTATTTCTTTATTTTTCAAAATCTGCATGCTAAGAATCTTTTTAGCAAAACCAATATCCTTCATATTAAACTTAGATTTCAATTTCAGTTTGATATTCTCAAATTCAGATTTATTACAACTAGCAAACAGTATGTCATCTACATAAAGCATTAAGTATAATTTTTTTTTTTTTTTAACTTTCCTTTACCTTTATAATAAAGACAAGTATTATAGTTGCTTCTTTGAAAGCCAAGTTTCAAAAAAAAAAAAAAGTTTAAAAACTTTTGTACTACTATTTTGAATTTTGTTTTAAGCCATACAATGATTTTTTTAGCAAGCAAACAACATTTTCAGAATCTCCTTTTATAAAACCAACACATTGTTTCATATAAATTTTCTTATCTAAATCACCATAGAGAAAAACAATTTAACATCTAATTGATCAATTCCCTATTTAACTGGAGAAACAAGGGTAAGAATCCATCTAATAATAGTATACTTAGCTACATGGGAGAAAATTTCAGTATAATCTATACTTTCTTTTTATGTAAATCCTTTTGCAACAAGTTAGGCTTGTATCTAAGACTTTTATTTCACCTGCCCCTTCCTTTAGTATATAGATCTATTTGCAGTCAATTAGTCTATAGTCCTTAAGCCGGTCAACTAATTCCCAAGTTTATTTTTAAGGAGCGAAGACATTTAATCTTCCACAGCAACTTTCCAATTTTTAGCATTTTTACAGTTAATAGCATTATCATAGAAGTTTGACTATTTTTCAAATTGTTCTTGATAAGAAAATAATGAGCACAATCAAACCTAGCCAGAGGTCTGATCTACCTTCTCTCCGTGTCTCTTGTGAGTTGATACTCATTACGGGGAAGAGTTGTAGGGTTAAAATGGTCATCATGTTCAGTATCTCGATCATTTTAAGTTTCAATTAAGAGAACATTTTCATCAAAACCAAATTCCTCAACTGCAGGTACATGAGCTTCTCCCTCAATATGAGGAGTCTCTACATCAATTTGAACATATTTTTCATTCAAGTCATTTTTCTTTCCTTCTATTCTAAACATGACACAATAGATTTATTAAAAATGACATTTTTTTTTCTTCTTATAATTACCCTATAATCTCTTTCACTTTTAACCCATATAATATGTAACATTTTCACCATAACCCAAGAAAACACGTTCAAGTGAACTAGATTCTAACTTACCAATATTTTGATGAGCATATGCAGCACAACC